AAAGCCAGAATTCCACTTTAAGAAATTTAGCCTAATTTAAGAAGAAGATATACAACCATTGGGAATATACAAGCATTTTAATATCTGAAACTTTGTTTTGAAGAATTGAGATAATTGACTGACATGTTTCATTATTAGCTGTTTATTGTTGGGTAAATATCACACAAAAATGAGCTATGAACATCCTATCATCCTTTCGCACGTTGGCTAAGTACCTTTCTGTTAAAAAAAAGCAGACATTTGGAAAATGAAAGAAAAGAAGAGCCAAACATCTTTGGCTGGCTTTGACCAGTGGTTCAGTAATTGAATTCTGGGTAATGAGGTTAAATTAGTTTGTACTATTTTGTACAAACATAGCACACATAGCATATAAACATAGCACAGGAGTTGGGCTTGCCAAAATCAGCTTAGACTGGGTGGGCCAAGAGTAACAACCGCAGTTAAGATTTATTTTTTAAAGTTATCAGTGAAGTCAAGGAAACCCCTAGAGCTATTACTGTGAGATAATATAAAATAGCTGTCACTAAATTACCAAATTACAAAGGCTACACCACAGGATGATCCAGGCGTGTTCTATGGACAGTTGAGACTGAGATAACCCTTTACCCAAGGGTGCTGGACAGGCTGATGTGTGGAGAAAGTAGGGAACTGCTGGTGCTTGAGTGCCATGGCCTGGGTCTTTACTGATGATGTAACTAATGATGGCAGCAGCCGAATGAATCCCGAAGCCTACAGAAACATTTTGTAGAAGAAAATGCTTCCATGGTTATTGAGCAGCACTTCAGCCTGCAGCATGACAATGACCCAAAAAATATGCCCAGTGCAACGAAGGAGGGAGTTCATCAGGACAAGAAAATGGAAAAGTTTAAATTTTCCAGATTTAAACTGGCCAGATTTAAATACAACTGAGTGTGTATTTTACTTCCTGAAGATAAAATTGATGGCATCTCAAACAATTGCACTAATTGGGTATGGGTAGACACACAAACTGTGTAGTAATAATAATAAAACTTCATTTTGTATAACACCTTTAAAAAAGTAGTATCTGAAAGCATTTAACAGTAGATGTACAAAACAGTTATAAGGACAGCAAATTACAGAATAAGTAGATAATTAACACAAGCTTTTAAAGGTACAGTAGAAGACACAAGATCATTAGGCTCAAAGCAGACGCAGACTCTAATTAAATAACAGCCTTTCTGAAAAGAAAGATTTTGAGTCTAGATTGAGATGCACTCGGGGTAGGTGACTCTCTGAGACTTATTCAGGATAGTCATCTCATTGCATCTATCAAAGATACAAATGACTTGACTACAAAATAAAAATAACATTTTTGGCTTTTGTGTCCCAATAGTTTTTGATGGCAGTAAATGCCTGTTCTGGTCCCAAAGTAATAAAAGTAATGTGCAAAGTAATAGAGACACCCTGTAACGTTTTATGTCTAATTTCAGGCAGGTGCTTGGCCTTTGACACATGTCCCTTCATCCACATTTGCCATTCCCCAGGAGCTGGAGAAGAGTGTGCAGATGGTAAGTTAATCGATCGACCCTCGGCAGTGGGATTCAGGAACTAACCTTCTGTCCTCTGCCCTCACATGCGTATTGCTGTGGATAGAATTCAGATGTCTTTTAGATTCACAGGTCAAAATAAAAGCATTATTACATATTAAGCCATCAGTAGAGCAAGATATAATTGTTTATTTGATCTCATGGTTATCATTTACTGTAAAGAATTTAGCACAACTTAGGAGGTTTTCCTCTGAGGCTGTGAAGTCATTGCAGTATGATCATGCAATTTTATCCCCCTTAGTTAAGTGTATTTTTTGTACTAACTCTTTAAGTAGGGGTGTCTTAAACAATTGAATATGTCAATCTAATGGGAATGGTTTTTGCCTTACAGTTTGAACTGTTTTACAACCAACACTTCAGTGGGAGGAAGTTAACCTGGCTGCACTATCTCTGTACAGGTAACAGGAGACTGAAGCGAACACTGTGGTTTTATTTAGATTATAAATGTTATCTTCTGAAACAGAAAACTTGCACCCATAAAAACAGATTTGAATACCTTTGGGTTTTTTGAGAGTCTTAGAATGAAATATTTTATTGAGAAATGCTTGTTTGAAGGTTATGCATTACTTTATAAAGATTACATGATAAAGATAATCTTTGATTAGTAACATCCAGAATTTATTTCATGGAAGAAGGAGTTTCATTGAAGAAGTGCTAAGAATCATCAAACCTGAAGTAAAATAAAGTAAGCCTTTTTTTCCATATTAAAACAAAAGCTATCATTATTGTCTTGGTTAGTTGAGTGTGACCATTTTAGAAATATGGTTCAAGCACTGTCACATTTGGTAGGTTTTCATGACCATACTAATCCATAAAATGCTAAAACGAAGAATTAAGTAAATTTTGACAGGCCGCCAAATGTATTAGGCTCAGATTTTAGGCACCTTATTCTCTTAAAATGACAGGTCTTTATAAATGGTTCTATTAAGCTCAAAATGAACCTTTAAGTGTACTGAAGGACATGCACATTTAATGATGTACTGTATCCTGTCTCCTATTTTAAGGTGAAGTGAAAATGAACTATCTCACCAAACCCTATGTGGCAATGGTCACCACCTACCAGATGGCAGTTCTGCTGGCTTTCAACAACAGTGAGACTGTTAGTTACAAGGAGCTCCAGGACAGCACGCAAATGAATGAGAAAGAGCTCATGAAAACCATCAAGTCTTTACTGGATGTTAAAATGATCAACCACGACTCAGGAAAGGTAAACTTCATTCATTCCTACTCACTGTAGCCGTTTGTAAAACAGATTTTCAGAATAGGTTATTTATACATCAAATATCACAGTTATTAAAAAAAGCATAGTATGCATATAGCTATCCATTACTTACGTACCTTTGCCAACCACAGTAATTTGTTTTTAACATAAAATGTTGTTGGAAACATATACAGTGTAGCTCTGGCAGTCCTTTTTTATTTAATATTTTGGATCATGTGTGTTTAAGTGACTATGATTTCTGGGGTTTGTAGAGTGTTTTATTTAATCAAAATGTGAAATAAATGCATACGGTTTCCTGAATTTTAATCACCTCATGGTTTCCTTCAGCCTAATTACATCATACATTTCCTCACGTTCAGACTGGCATGGTGAGTCTAAAATGTTGATCCTGCAAGCTTTAGTCGGTGAAGCAATGCTTCAATGCAATCTTGGCTTCTGCATGTCACCCAGGTCCCCTGTTATTTGTAAATCACTTGGGGGTTGCTGGACATGATGAGCACAAATGCAAAGACTTTTACTATAAGCAAATCTGAGGTGCCTCTCAGCATGGCAAAAATTCAATCTGTCAAGTTCCAGTTTCCTACTTTGACCTTGATGAGTCCCAACTAGGGCTGACCAAGAAATATCCTCACATAGAGTGCGAATGCACCACTTCTGTGTTCTAGATTTCTAATCGGTCACCTCTAGGCTCTTATAAGAAACCATCCACTTCCAGTGAATGATGTATGGGGTTGTATGTACACCAGAGGTGAGATCCATTTGAAGATCTGACAGAGCATTTAAGAGGTGCTTTACTACAGGAAAAACGTAATATTGAGAGTAAAAAAGAGCTAATCCCATTATAATGTGCTGTAGCACTGTAGTAAGGGTGGAATGGAAGCCAAAAAAAAATATTAATCTTGGAAACACCTGTTAACAAGGTGTTTGAATCCTGCCTGACTATAGATACTGTATAGAGTGGCTACCTCCTACGAAAGCTGTACCTCAGGAGAACTCAGTGGAAAGGGGCTCCTTCATGTTTGCCAGTGAAAATGAGGTATAAATAGTGAAGAATAAAATGATTGTCGCTGTTGCTGCTGTATCACCAAAGGAATTTCACCTTCAGACGTAGATTACCTTTTTGTACGCTTGGTCTTATGGACAGAGGTAGAAAACTAACTAAACTTTTTGTTCTGGGGAAGACTGGACACGTTCTCCCTTGTGTAAGACTGTTGACATACCGAGGCACGTGTTTGCAGTAGTCGTGACAAAAGAGGATTTACGCACATGGCCGTGGAAGTAGTACTGTGGACAGCTCAAAAGGGTGGCGCTGCTGTTCACTAATTCTGTTAAACGACAGGCCTACTGACCAAACTAAAATGTTCACTGAATTTGCATAGCAGAGAAAGGTCTCCTCATTAGAATTCTGCAAGCTGAGAATAAGAATAGAAACACAGTTGAGTGTGGGACTTTTTTATAGATGTATTGGCTCATTTCTGCTCTTGTTTACTTTAAGTAAATCAGTCCTGTTCCTGTTCGAAGCTTGGATGATTCCAGTGTGTTTCAGCAAAAAATACATTTTGTATTTTCATTACATTGTGAATGAGTTATTGCCTGTGGTAAGCTGTTCATAGTTCAACAGCTGTTCATTTTGTCCGCATTTATTGAAGGTTTGTTATATGAAGTATTTTTTATTTTTATATCAAAATCGAATGCGTTTTTTATTGGGTTTTTTTTTTTTGCATTGGCCTTTGCCTCTAACAGACTAAAATCAAAATCCCTGAAATGGGTACATTTTCCCTGAAAATGTCCTTCGGACACAGTGCAAATTTTGTTAATTACAAATCCTAGATTGTAAAGAGATATTGCATATATAACAAAGCATGTTTTGCTGTGATCTTGTTGAATTAGATCTTGTTGTCAGATCTTGTTGAATTATGACCTTTATATAGCGTTCCCAAGACATCACTAGTACTTGTCCAATATGTTGTGTGTTTACTGCCCTGAATGTGACCTTCTCTCTGCTTTTTTCTTGTTTACTGTGTTTTCCCACTGTTCATCTACACTTGACAGGGTGACAGGACCTTTTGTCCAAACCTCTGGAGCATCACCCCAAAAGAAATCAGCCACTTGGCCATAACTGGTGCTTTTAAGTCTAGCCCATTAACCTTTTCACAATTGGTTAATGTTACTGTATCTGCTTTATTTTCTTGTCTTCCTAATGTAATTTTCTGGTATAATTTGCTTCTGCAGGCACTATGTCAAATAATTTACTGTTATTACATTCCTACCTGAGTTCTTCCCTACTTACAAAAGTCTTATTATTCACGTCTGACATTTAAAGCAATGTAATAAATACCCACATTTAATTGACATTTATATATATAATTGTTTTATAATAAAAAACTAAATCATATTGATATTTTCCTATTTTCTTAGATCAGACTATTATTTCTTTAACAAGAAATCATAGAGAGCATCAGGAATCTCAGTATGCATTGACCTTAAGCTTTTTTAATGACTTAACATATAAAATCCTTTGTCACTTTATTTTCTCTCAATTGTTTTTCAATTCTATGAGAGTCTTCTAAATCTGATTCAGTTAATGGGGCTATCTGGGCAAAGCTGTTGCCCTGGCTCCATCCTAATGTGTCCTGATGTAATGTCTTGAATCAATGCCCTCTGATTAAAATGCAGAGTCATAAAGTAAGTGTTTTGTTGAAAGGTTAGAGATGGCTATGAGTATTTTGGAGATCTCATGTCTTAATGAAAACAGGGATGTCTCAGAGAAATCTTCTATCATTCACCTACTTTGTCTTCTTCATGACTGTCCATGGGTCTTTTGATGTTGGTGAATGAGATCGTATTAACTTTTTTTTTTAGTGTTGCTTTTTCAAAGCCACGTGTTCTCTGCTAACAGTGGTGCCCAAATGAATGACCTAGAAGAAACATGCTTTAATGTTGAGAACAGGCTTTACTAGATAAAGAAGTATTGTAAAACACAGAGATGCGACACTCATTAACAGTGAGGGTTATAATTCAAAGCGAATTAAATAGAGATTAAATGAAGCACAGGGTTACACAGTTGGCTTGATGAGAGCATAGACTTTGAGTAAACAACTGCATATACTGTATGGCTACTAGGATTTTCATAACCTCATTCAATTGTCTTTTTTTTTTACAGGAAGAGATAGAAGCAGAGTCTACATTCTCACTAAATATGACGTTCACCAGTAAAAGAACAAAGTTTAAAATCACAACATCGATGCAGAAGGACACACCACAGGTCTTGACATTTTGACTTTGATTTGAGATGTGTTCATTGTGTGTTTGTAAATTAGGAAAGGCTGCCCTAAAGGGATCTGTTTTTCTCCTTTTTTTAGGAAATGGAGCAAACCCGAAGTGCTGTGGATGAGGACAGGAAAATGTATTTACAAGCTGCTATTGTCCGCATTATGAAGGCACGCAAAGTACTGAGGCATAATGCACTAATCCAAGAGGTACGGTTCCATTGGAAGAAATCATTTTTTCCCTCCTTTAACACTTCCTACTCTAAAAATAACATACATTCTTCTTTGCATGTTTTACCTTGTGTTAAATGAGGTGTTAAATTATTCAAAACTGTTCTAATTTCTCTCCACAGGTCATTAACCAGTCCAAAGCCAGATTTAACCCTAGTATCAGCATGATAAAGAAGTGCATCGAAGTGCTGATTGACAAACAGTATATTGAACGAAGTCAGAGCTCAGCAGATGAGTACAGCTATGTAGCATGATGCTGAGAGTCCTGTAGGCTGATTGGAGAATGGAGACCATTTATTTCGCTGTCACTGTCTAGTGTATTCCTGTGGGATGAAGCAGATATCTGCCTCCATCTAGGGAATCTTCACTGAGTCGCCAGACAGCCCCCAATTGATTTTATGCTGTTTACAACATCACCAGTGCCACGCCACGTGCGTCAATAAAATTGCCTATAGCTATTTGAGCGCAAGCAAATATTACATTTTTAGTCTACTAAACAAAAAAGAAAAGCAAGGGAGCTAAATGTGGAAGATGTGGAAGACTTAGATGTGACAGAAAACCATGCTTTCTTTTCTCACGTTTGCAGTTGTTGTGTTTTTTTAATGTATCAAAGTTAAGACAAAATATTGTAATAAATCTGGTATACTGATAATTGTATCTACTTCAAAATGTTAAAAAAATGCAGAAAAAAACCTATGAGGTGACAGACATGATCCTGCTGCTTGTCAAATAAAAAAAAAATAAAACCCAGAGATATTTGTAAATATTTAATGGAGGAGCATGTTTGTTGTAAGTTTTGTGTGGGGTATGTGTCCCAAGTTGAAACTGCTGAGTCTTGGAAAGGATTACTGAAAGCATGTGAGCACAGTACATTAGAGAGGTCAATGAGCATCTGTAACCCATAGAGGAAAGCACACAATTACTGTGTAAAATGGGTCTAAGGCAACCATTACAAATATGATCGTCAAGGTCTTGCAATCTCAGTCCATTCTAATAAAGTGCCACAGGGTCATGAAACAGATTGAACTGCTGGAAAAGATTTTTTCTCAGTCTAAGAACTATCACAATTAAGGTCATTTTATTGCTTTATATATAGGATTTGTCTACTCCATTTTATACTTTGAGCATTGAGACTCATTATTAATATTCCATAACTAATAGTCAAATAAATTGTTTTGGATAGTATGTGTAAAATATTTATAAATGTATCCGACTGTAACAGTAATGTAACAAATCTGTTTAATTACTGCATTTAGGTTCTGCCCTTTTGGTGTTGTAGTTTTAATCTTTCCTGACCTTTCAGTTTCCATAAATACAAAGTGTGAAAAAAACTGACCTATAGCTATTTATTTTATTTCTCAACTCAAACCCAGTATAACCAACCTTCACAGTATTTGTCTAGAAAATAGTAACTGTTTGGTAGTGTTTTTATTGCATAAACAGAAGGAGGTTTCAATCCCACACTCTACAGATTATTTCAAGTGTTGTCTGATCCTTCCTATTGCTGGTGAAAATGTGACTGGTATTAAACACTAGAGGGAGCAGGTGTTCTATTTCAGATGCAGGAGGTTGGAGACTTGTGGAGCCCAAAAATCTTTTTTGTAGAGTTTCAAGTACAGAGTTCAGATTGATAGTTAAACTTTTATAGGTAACGCTGTATACCCAGACTGTAAACCCAGTCTGTGGTATAAAACTTATTACAGTGTTTTCCTGACATGTTTCTGCCTTAATAATAATTAATAATTAATAATTGCTTACACTTACATAGCGCTTTTCTGGACACTCCACTCAAAGCGCTTTGGGGACTCCCCTCCACCACCACCAATGTGCAACATCCACCTGGATGATGAAACAGCAGCCATAGTGCGCCAGAACCCTCACCACACATCAGCTATCAGTGGGGAGGAGAACAGAGTAATGAAGCCAAGTCATAGATGGGGATTATTAGGAGGCCATGATTGGTAAAGGCCAATGGGAAATTTGGCCAGGACACCAGGGCTACACCCCTACTCTTCTAGAAACGCCCTGGGATTTTTAATGACCACAAAGAGTCAGCCTCTCGGTTTTATGTCTCATCTGAAGGACGATGCCTTTTTACAGTATAGTGTCTCCGTCACTATACTGGGGCATTAGGACCCACATGGACCTGCTGGTCCCACTAACACCTCTTCTCGCAGCAACCTCAGTTTTTCCCAGGAGGTCTCCCATCCAGGTACTGACCAGGCTCACACCTGCTGAGCTTCAGTGGGTTGCCAGTTGTGAGTTGCAGAGTGATATGGCTACTGGCAAGTAAAATAAAGAGTAAATATGAGCTCTGAACCCTTAAAACTTCAAATAAACCCTAGGAAGCTGTCAGTGAATCTAGTACTAACATTCTTTGCGTTTTAAGTCCGATGACTATATACTGTACGTGTCCAAAACAAATACGAGCTATATTAGAAGAATCTTAAGCAATGATTCACAATTATTTTGTCTTAGAAAGTGTGGATTCCTTTTACCTCAGCTTTTTTTTAACTGTAAGCATCTGTTAATTTTGTTCTGAATTCCCTTGCCATTGCGACAGTTTCAAGGTTCAGTTACCATAAATTGATCCAGCCAGTAGTCAGTTGTTTGAAGTAAATATGTGTGACATGCAACCATTTGGTATAGGGCCAAGTAGAGGCAAGTTCAAATCCCTGGCCATAGTCTTCAAAGGCCCTGACAAAGTCAGCCTTTTGGACTACAGATCCATCTGTGAAATACAAACCACAAGGAACAGGTTGAAACTGGGGGGGAAATATTTACAACTAACAGCCAGGGGAAGATTTGTACACAAAGGGTTATGCACGTCCTTAATGTGTGTTGGGGACAAGTTTGATTTCTGTTGTGAGGGGTAAGATTGTAGGCAGTACAATATCAACTTTTCATCATATCCATAAGGGCTGACAAAGTTGAATTGTGTTTTTGATAATACTAGAATCTTTTTGGCATATCCCAGACATCAGAAGCAACTTCTTATATTAATGCATCTATGTTCTTAGAAAATAAATTATGTCAGTTTGGGATAGTGATGAAATGTGTTTGACAGCCTTTTCATTAACTGATCATTCATTTCTAACAGTGATGCCATCACTTGTCTCTGACTATTACATAAAAACTACATAAACCTCATTAATGAGAATTGACTGGCCCCAGGAGATGATGTGAATTATCCGTTGAATGTCAAGCCTTGTGAACAATAAGAAAACCAGAAAAAAACTAATATGCCCCACTTACCAAGAGAGCAACACCTTTGATAATCCAATATACTGATGACTAATTAGTCAAGATTTTCTGCAGTTCCTGCAGTCTTGGACTAGTGTTCTGACCTTCCTGGACTTGGCCTGGCCCACAGAGCTGGTTCCCTGGCCTCCTGGTATCTCTGAGGGAGTCTGCTGATTGTTGAAGTGGAGCATCTCTTTCTCTTGAAAACGTCTCTCGCAGATAGGTCATCTTCAAGCAGATCAATAGCAACCAGGTGATCTTCATTATTCAAACAGGACATAATCGTATCTTTCATGGTTTTACCATCAATTAAATGAATGTCTGTTTATGCAGGTCTTTCATAAATTTGGGGAATTCAAACTCAAATGCTAAACACTTTGCCCCTAGTGTTATTATGGAATTGCTTGACATGATTTAGTTTTGCATAAGAACGGTACCACTCAAACAATCAGCAAACCTGATCTCTGTTTAAAGTGTGAGTAATGTTATGTATGGTACAGTATGTGCTCAGTTAGCTAGTGACATAAAATCTCAGCTGCTGAGTTTGAAAAATACTTTTTTTGAGTGTATGGGTGGTACGCATGTGCAATAAGTGCAAAAAGATTCATTTCAGGTAGTAATTTGCAACCGCTGGTTAACTATTAGTGCCAATTAACACATCAATGCAGTATTTCTACTGTTTATTCCCACTTGTCCAAGTGCCCAAATCACCCTTTCTACCTCTCTATTACAACTCCATTCAGAGAACCTCATGCACAGCTAACAACTGTCAATGATTTTATGTTTTTTCTTGTGAATTCTGAGTGCATCTCTCTATATGATTATACCTGATAATTTTAAGCCATTTGGAAGGTTCCCTGTCACATGATAGCATACAAATTCTGATTCCAGATGTTATTTATGTGGTTCAGTAACCTGCTGTCTGGTCCTAAATCACTCCAGGGAGAGGAACTATTAAAGCTACAGTATACTATAATTATGGAGAATGTTACACTTTGGTTTCTCAGCAATAATTACTTCATTTTGCCTAATGTTATCAAATTTATTTTATAATACGGTATATTGAAACTGTGTTCACTATGATAAAACCAAAATCTCTTTACATTGCTCTGTTACAGCTTTAAATAATTAAGGATGTGAATGTATTTTATGGAGGTAATTTTACTCTTGGGCAGCATTGCCAGCTTCTAGCCTGATCCTGTGAGATCTCATTACCTAAGCAAGACTGGGCCTGGTCTGTATTGGGATAGGAGACCTCAAAGAAAAAACCAGCTTGCTACTGGAAGTGGTGCCGGAGAACCACTAGGTGGCACTCTCCCCTCTGGTCCACATGTTCCAAACCAGTGCTCCAGAATGGGGATCACTGTGTTGTGGGAGATGCTGCCCTTCAGGTGAGACTGAAGCTCATACGAACAGGTGTTAGAACCTCACTGTCCTGCGTACAATTCCACTCTGGTCTGTCCACAATTCCACCTTTATTCAACTGGTAATTTCTCCCTTCTACACCTGTGACTGGGGCTTCTGATGCATAATACGGCTACATGTCACCTAGGTGCATGCTGCACTTTAGTTAGTAGATTAAATGGGTCGGTGTAAGGCACTTTGGGATCCTGACAGAAGCAATACCACTTTGTAGCCTGAGCCAAGAACAGCTGGAATGGGAGGCCTCAAAGGAGATCCAAATGGTGCCGACAGACAAGTAGGTAACACTCTTTCTCTGGACCTGAATTTCCAAACCAATGCAGTATTTTGACTGGAGTCACAACCACAACATAGTAGCAGGTGCTATGCTTCAGACAAGATGTGAAATCAAGGCCCTGATTACATGGTCGGTCACTGAAGATCCCCTACCACTTTTTGAAAGAGTAAAACCGTTAATCCCGGTGTCCTGGCTAAATCCCACTCTGGGCTAGGACAATCTCATCAAACGTGAATGAACCTCCTATTGAAGTAATGCTGATGGAGGAATTTGTCACTTCTCTAATATATCCACCTTTGTGCGATGGGGCTGAACAAAAGAAGCTAAAGGAAGCACAATGTTCAACTTTATAAAGCATTTCTATCATGTCTTGATAACGTGAAGTTTTGGTCATCGTTCTTATTTTCCAGTGCCCTTGAAGATAGATTGCAAAGAACAGTGTGGCAATAAATACTTGAAGGACACTTAAGTACAATATGTACTTGATAGGTTGAAAAGGGATTTTTTTGTTGCGTAGTCTTAAACGAGGAAATGTTTAAAATGTGTTCTGCTTTAATGCTGACGAGCACAGATATTCAGATTTGAATTAAAGTGACATCCACCGTCATTGAAAAAAGCCCATCTCCTCCTGCTGGCACAGTTTAGCTGAAAACAATGTTAGTTAGGAGCAAATTGATTTTCCATTGTGGAAAAGGCAGAATATAAAAAAGAAATACTCCAATAAGGTTGCAACGTGGAATTGGACCTTAAGACAGAATTTAAATAGCAAAATGCATGTACAAATCCAATAAGAAAAATAACTGCAATTGTACTCTTGTGCATACAGCTTGGAGGCAAAAACAATACCAGAAATGCTGGCAGTCATCCTGTGAGAACTCAATTTTGAATTTATCAAGTCAAGCATTTAATTTATTATAGTATTAATATAAATAAATGTTATATTTTATTTAATATTTTATTATTTCTATAAATTCTTACATTTTTTATGGGGTGAAAATATTGCCTGATTCTAAAAGTTTCGTCAACTGTGTGGTTTCTGCACGTTAGTTTACCTGTGGAAATGCTAAAACCTTTGCCGACAAAGTGAAGGCTTCTGTTCGTCTGAATTTTGTTACCTTATTTTAATGCGACACATACTGTAGATGAGTGTATTTCAACCAGGGGATGCAGGAGAAGCAGCATCAGTGACTAGAAAATTAGGTATGTTGAATAAGTTGAAGATCGATCAGCTAAATGTACAACTTCATCTTCATCAAATGTCTTATATCATTTGTACCTTCCATTGTGTCATTGAGTTACACCGTTTATCTCAAAGAATCCATATATCACAAGCTTTTCACAGCTTATTAACCACACTAAATATAACTACAACACCTGAAAGACAGTATGAAATAGTTTTAGCACATTATCTGACTCAATAACACCGTTCATGGCACTTCCAATTGAAACAGTTTCAATTCTGTTGGGTTATCTAGAGTTTTTAAATATACTTTACGATTGCTTTATCAAAGAAACAGATTTTAAAAATCATAGTATTTAAGTTTTGTAAATACTTTTACCCAATTGATTTCCCCAGAGACTGAATCCACAGGGGTGCAGGGATTCAGTCTGGTCAAAAACGACTATGCGTGAAAATGATGAACAGTTAAATAGCTGCTAGTTACTGTAGGTTTGGCGCTGTATGTGCGTTTTGACATCGATTAGTTTTGCACGTTTGTATTCGTAATGAGCAATACTGCCCCTCGAGGGCTGAGGTTGTGGAAAGCTTTTGTGTGTTTAAAACTTGTTTAAAAAATGACTACTTTCGTAAGCATATCCAGTGATGTAGTCGCTAATTAACTCAATTAAGCACGTGAAGTGTCAGGTGGAAGGAAACCAGCGGCCCTCAAAAACCAGGAATGCAACCGCTGGCGTGATTGAGATTGATGAATATCAATTGCATTTCCATATAATGTTTTTACCAAATTGAGACTGAAAGCCTGTGCTGAAAAAAAAAACTGTTTATTATATGTTGGTGGGTCTGCTGTTGCACAGAGAGACCTAATTTTAACTTGCTGAACAAAAAATTGATAGTTGTCCACCATTTCCTCTGCTCGAACAGGTTTGTCGCCAATAGGTTAATACTAATACGCCAACCGCTGCTCCGTGTAGAACAAGACATCTGCGCTCAATAATAATAATAATAATAATAATAATAATAATAATTAATAATTAATAATGTACATCTGTGACAGTTAAAAAACAGTTCCTTGCGCTAGCTTTTAGGTTTTCAAGCGTTATACAGTACATTGTAACCCAACGCGACTCGCAGACTTTGCAGTCCTGATAAATGATAATATTTCGCGGTAAGCTACAGTGTAACAGCTTTAGTGGCTTATTGCATTAGTTTTATGCAGATATATTCAACGGGCTATGTTCACGTCAGAAAACTAAAAATGTTCTGTTCATGTCTGCTCAGTTGGTTTAAAGCTAAACAAAACAAGTCTTAGTTACATATACATAAATTAAGAAATTAGATTAGTTAAATCCAAATAATAATCGGCATTAAGTGTACAAAAAGATTGCATTTTCGTGTTAGCCGATTAACTCATTTGGAGTGATATATCAACAGTTTTAAATGGATGCTTAGCATAGTAATCACAGTTTTAAGAGCAAATATAGTTTATAAGCCACTTGAGTTCTGTACTTGTGTATAAACTGATAACATATTTTACCTATCATCTTTATTAAAGAGGAGGGGGCAACGACACTCCCGAGACTTACAGTATACAGTATGTGAAATGAGGTTGCTTGTGAAGTTTCAAGAGCGTCAATACTCGCAGTGACCAGGGTGGGGAGATGGTTTCCCAGTTCAGTTCTTTTCTGCTTCAGTTTAGCCAGCACATCAGAGTAGGATCGCAGAAACATTAAACAGGTGGTCAGAAACACACATCTTAAAAAAGCGACCATGGAGAAAAGGTGAAAAGCTTCGCGTTTCTCTCTCTTTTGGATCTACTTTTTGCAAGTCCAAAGGAAATACGTCCCAAGGAGGGTTTTACATACGAAAACTACACCTTTATTTTTCTTCTGGATTTGGGATTTGTGGAAAATATCGGTAACTATGAAAGTGACAGTGTGTTTTGGAAGGACCAGGGTGGTGGTTCCGTGTGGCGATGGAAATATTAAAGTTCACAGCCTTATTCAACAAGCCGTGATGAGATACAAAAAAGCTATTGCGAAGGTAAGTTTTCTTTACTTCGTATTGTGCTTTGGTGCTTTAAAAAATTCCCCATTGGAAACAATGTTGTAACCCAAGGAATGGTGCGGCAAGCTCAATATGGCGCTTTTCTGGGAGAAAAAAGAGAAGGAAGGGAAATCCTAAAGGTCTATTGATTAATTTGTAGAGATAGACGGGCGCTGATTGAGAAAGAAGCGACTTCAGGGTTAGTCTGGGTTGTAGCGTAGTAGTCAGATTTAACAGTTTTGTATATTTTTTTTGTGTTTTAAGTGCGGCGGGACCCGGCTGTTGTAAACCCGCAAAAGTTCCTTACTTGAACGTTTTTTAAAGGGACAGTTTTTCTTTGATTGGCGCACTGGCGAGTTTGGTAAAATGTATTTTAAGCAACGATTTAGATTTTTCTGAAAGCTACCGTTAATTTAATACTTTTTAAAAGCCATGTTTGAACGTTGTCTATTACTGGTAAACCTTCAAATTGCAGATTTCAAACTTGAAGCTGGTTACGTGGTTTTATTTGGCAAAAATCAGTTTCCTAATACGACCGCGAGTACTTTATTCATGGTCAATATATTTTTAAATGCAGTGAGCTTATTTATCGCTTTGTTCAAGCGCAGTTTACAGTGGAGGTAGATTGGTTAGGGACCAGCCGAAATCAAAGGGTGCGTGTATTTGCACATATGTTTTGAAAACGAAAAGCGCAGAAATAAATACGTTTTAATGCTCACACTATTTTTATGGTTTAAGTTGGGAATACTTCATGTGGAATAGATAAAAACAAAACAAGCTAAAAAGCTTCAAATCCAGCCCCAGGCTTCCTGAATACACCAGGCCCTGGAGGATAGGGAGGGAAACTGCATCTGTAAAGACACTGGTTAGTATTCCAGGAATACTGAGTTACACAGACACTGAATTGCGACTCCAAAACCCTGCCATTTATCATTGTTCGCCCAGGTTTGTAAGGTTGCAGAGGGGGGAATAAGTAGCAGTGGTTTGTTCTGAATTTTAGTTTTTTTTTTTAAATATGTCTACTGGTGCAATCACGTAACACTCCAGTGTGCTGTTTCTGGCGACATAACATCGGGACAGCAATGAGTTTTCATGGGGAAGTTATTACAAGTAGCAGTCGGCTATCGGCTAAATACCTACAGTTTGGTTTATGTCACACACACATGGATTTCCAAAGCACTACTTCATATTATATCGCTTAGTTGTGTAGCAAATTCTTAATACCGGTATCTTCCTTGTTGTAGTACATCCAAATATGATAAAACATCACCCTGCTGAATGATATAATTTTTTCAGACAATTCTGGTATGTAAAGTGAAGAGTAACATTTTGAAAGTGCACTTGTTTTCTAGCAGTATCTTCTACTTTACAATACCCATTCAGAACAGTGTTTAACCACAGAGCATCATTTGGAGCGTTTGTTTTTCTGTGAAGAATATTTTACAAAGTAGGTCTCTTTTAATATAGCGAGTCATTTTCTTTAGGAAGTTAACAGATCCGTTGTAAACAATTCATGATATTTGTTTTAGCTAACAAGAAAAAAGCAGCACTTAAACTGCTAGTGGTTATAAGCTTCAAGAGGCAGAGACTGAAGTCTAGTTACTGTTTAAAAGTACTTTCGAGTATCGGAGTAACTGCCCTATCACAGCTACAAAGCGGTTTCAGTTACTGTACACCCTCGCAACATTATTATTGAAACATTTCAGAGGGTTGGGAGCTTGTAAAATAGCCGTAAAGAAATTCAAGCCGATTAATTTCAAAGAGGTTTCAAACAATTTTACCCTGTTTGAACCTCATGAATGGAAGCTTTTACCTGTCTTTAGGATTAGGAAAGCCTGTTGCAGTTCTGAATTTCATTTGCCAGTTGTTTAAACATTTCTGTCTCCTGCAAAGCGACACCTTCCTATTAGAGTACTGAAGTGTTTGATCATTTATATCAGTTTAAAATACAGTAGTTATGTCAGAAGGAGAAATGTGTGTATTTAAGTAATAAAGGTTTTTGTCACAAAACCTTGAGGTAATGAAGGGAGGTGACTATAGAAACATACTTTTCCATCTCCTAACAACACTTGGACATCCATGCTGCAGTAATACAGAATCAATCTCCTTGGTTAAGAAAGGTGGCAATACATTTTTTTCAAGTATTTGAATTTGGACATTGTTGATTCTTTCTCGTTTTAGCTTTAATGGCGGGGATTTTCATTAAAGCATTTAGAATCAGGTTTCCAGGGAAAGAGATGCTTGAAGCATTGCCTTTTCAATATGCACCGCCAAAGAAAACAAACGAGTAGGAAGGCACTGAGGGAAATTTGCAGAGCACTGGGTTGTGTTGGTTACATCACATTTCATAACTCAAGAACTTGAGTCTCCGATGCAAGTTCCAGCCACATACTGTGCCATGCTGAAGTATTCACCTACTGAACTTGTCTATGAGTGAAAGACGTTTTGTCAATAAAACCCGCAAAAACAAAATCTTGACAGGTTCCCAGGCCCTACTGATGAGAAACAGCCCCCCCATATCATAATGCTGCCACCACCATGCCTTACAGTAGAAACGGTGCTGACTGGGTGACATCCTGTGCTGGATTCATGCCATGTGTAGAGCTTTTGCATTTAGAACAAAGAGCCTATATTTTACCTTGTCCGACCACAAAACCTTTTGCCTCGTGTTTGCAATATTACTTAAACACTTTGTTGTACACCCCATGACTTGAGATGGGTTGCCACTTTGCCCTAAAGACCAGCTTTGTGGAGTGACTAGGAGGTTGTTGACACATTGACATTTTCTGCTGTCTCAGTCATTGAACTCTGTAGCTCTTTCAAAGGTGCTGTTGTTTGACTCAGTTTGGACAGGAAGCCTGGGGCAGAGTACTGTGTATTTGTCACTTCTTAATGAATGACTTCACCGTGCTCAAAGAGATATTAAGAGTTTTTCCAGTGTTTTTATATCCTTCTTCTGATCTGTAGTTGTTTTGAAAGCTACTTAGGCTTGATAGTTGAATCTTTGCCTCAGATGCACTACCTGAATGCAGGTCCTTATAGAGACAGTAATATTTATTGTTAAATTATATGGACTACGATTATTACTGAATAGGCCATTCATGTAGTTGTGTGACTTTTTAAACTAAAAATTGTAATATGGTTATAGAATTCACCAAGCCTTCCTGTCTAAAAAACCCTTTGTGCTTTTGAGTTAATTAAATCATAGTACTTTGTCTGATTTCTCTGAACTTTGTCTTGCATCAAAGTAGCTATATTTTATAAATACACAAAATTAAAAAGCATGAAAAACAGTGCAAGGAAACTACACTATAAGCAGCATCCAATTATATCACAATGCTGCAAAATTATTGGACTTGACTGTTATAGTAGATTTTATGTACTTCCATGTGCAAACACAATTCAAATTTCTGTTTCACCAAGTACTTGATTCATACATTTTACTATTAAAGATAGGAACACAATCTGTTCAGGGTTAAGTTGTGAACCTGAACATTCAATCATAAGTTCACATATCTAAGAACTAAAATTGACTTTTATTTTAATCAGAGATTCACTGCCAGAGTTATTGGGATAATCTATTGACAGTGCTTACATTGAGAGATTTTCAATTAGAGGAAGGAGATGTCAAATACGTTTTTTTATTTACTGTATAACTATAATAAATGACTACAGAATGATTTAATGTTTAATGCATGTAACATGCAATTTTCAGCAGTTACAGACTTGTGAAATTATTTATATTGCAGACTTGTCCTTAAATCCTTTTCTGGGTTCCAGATACTGTATCAGAGCTAAAGATGGTATTGCCAGAAGCTTGCATTGCTTTTGGAAGAAGTATTTGCTTGGAAAATTGTGCAAAAATTACTTGGTGAATTCCTAAGAAATGACAGTCAAGTAAACCATACATTCAGACCTCATACATAAGGCATTTCCTTGTGTGTTTTGAAAAGAGCCAAGAATTTTCATTCTGAACCTGCAATGTAGTACCAGGGGTGTATTAACGTTGTAATGGAAGCCATGGGGTCTGCCTTTTCTTAACCCTTTGGAGAGAGTAACTAGGAGAATCCTACCACTCTGATCCTGTAGGAAACTCTCACATTGCTTTGATGAAACTAAGACGTTCTGAACAAAAAGGTTAGTCGATGTCAAAATAATATACAAAGAAGCTGTAACCTGTAGCGTTTTTTCTCTGGGGAAAGGTACATACATACAACTTGATTGGACCGTGTAAGTTCCTAGAATGTAAATGATCCTAAAAGCCCATGGTTATCTCAGATTGGCTATGGGTCTTAAAATTTGATTACTAATTGGTCATCTAATCCCATGACCCTCTGCATTTTCTGGAATGCTGTCATCATCATTCAACGTCATCAAAGCCATTGGATTCTGTCAAGTTGAACTTTTAACAATAAAGGCTCTTGCTTTACTGAATTGGATGAAGCTGTTAGAAAATGGATGATTGGGACTTGCTTTATCAGAGATCGAAAGCATTTCAGAAGACTGCAAAGGAACAAGTAAAGGTTCCTTCCATGCTGAAGGAAAAAGGTTAGACAATGTTTCGGCTGTGGAACCTTCTTCAGGTGTTGTTTAATTTCAGAAGACTGTTTAAACTTGTCCATTTAGCTAGCTAACGTCTTATCAGTGGAAGTGGAGTAAGTAGTAACAATAAAATGCTAAAAAAAATATTATTAAGCATGATAATGATGGCATTCTCATAGTGGGTCATGGGTTCATGTCTGGTATGTTCTCCCCGTGTAAGTGTGGGTTGTCACCAGCTGCCCCATTTTCTGCCCATTCCCAAAAGACATGCATATTTGATTTTCCGGACTGCGTGTGTACATTATCCCACCTCGTGTTTTGTGCTGCAGGGAAGGTAAGAGTTGCAGAAGAGCCTTAAGCAGTTTTCTGGTAATGAATGGGTGACGGCTAAAATAAGTTATTCATGTGAAACTCTTCTTCTATGTTTGAAACTCAGGGTGGTAAATTCTTCCTCA